TGGGCAAGAGGCAAGCAAAACTACAACAGGAAAAATCCATGGCTGATAAACCAGATCTGCAGCTTTTTTTTTTTTTTTTTTTTTTTTGTCTTTATCGGTACCAGGGATCGAACTCACAACTGTCTGCTTACAAGGCAAGTGCTTATGCCGCTGAGCTAAATCCCCAGGCTCGAGATCTGCAGCTTTAATGAGGCCCAGGTGATCTTTACCAAGGTTAGAATGACCATCTACTACAGGTACTATAGAACAGAAAGAAGCTAAGGTAGCATCACATTCCCTTGGGAATTTACCCCTAGCCCGGGCACCATGGAGGCTGAAGAGGAAGTCTTTGCATTATGAGGCTTCTGTTTTGCTTTTTACAGGAAAAACTTCTGCTTAAATTTTTATACTAAGAAGTTATTGGGCTTTATAGACTTTTCACATTCCATCTGTTTGTAGTAAGTGCAAATCTAAGGGTTTCCTTAGTGTAGAAGAAAAACAAAAGTCATCCAAAAAAACCCTGAATCTTGAATCGGCTATCAACAATAGCCAAAATCTTACCAGAATCCTACAATGAAACACAGTTTAAAAGCACAGGAAAAGTATATTTATGATGCTTTTACTTTTGAAAGAATGCCTTAATCTTGTTTTTTAATCAGTATTAGAAATAATGATTGGGTATGTCCAAGTCTTAACTTTATTTTGTGGGAAAATGTCTAACTGTGGGGACAAGGAAGAAGTCTTCCACGCTAGCCAGCCACCACACCTCTCACTGTCATACTACCCTTTCAAAGAGCATCTCGCTAGCAACCTGCAGTGGCACCCACTATTCAGGCTTTTAAGGCTCTCTGCAATTTTGCCCCAGTCTGTGTTATCTCCAACCAGGGAGGAAGACACAGAATAGGTACTAGGGATACAAGAATCTATACATGAAGATATATTTCCTATTTATTCCTATGAGTTTCCAATCTTCATTTCTGACACTGAAGTTCATAATCTGTCCAGTGTTAATTTCTATACATTAGGCAGGGAGCTAATGGCATCTTTTTCCATAATAATCTTTTCTTCCAGCTTCTTTGGCTGTGGTGCTAGGGATGGAACGCGGAGCCTCACATATGATAAACAAGTGCTCTACCACTGAGCTGCGGGCCAACCCATTCCAGCTCTTTATTCAATGGCTCCTTCCTTGCCACTGGCTGACATGACCTGCATACTGAGATGCTCTACATGTATGTGCATTGGCTTCTGGGCTATGTCACATCATGATCAATCTCTTGATTTTTTTTATACCAATTCCACACAGGTGAATTCCTATCTCACATTTTTCTTCTCCAAATTATCTTACCTATTCTTCCCCCTTTCTTGTTCCATTAACTGTGTCAGTATCCATGAAAAATCATACAGTATTTTGCTTGGCATTAGACTCTATGGCACATTTTAGAAGAACCAACCATCTTCAACCATGTTAATTTTTCCCCTAGAGCAGAGATTGGCAAACTGGGGCCTGCCATCTGTTTTTTAAATAAAGTTTTATTAGAATGGTCACAGTCATTTACTTACATCTTCTTTAAGGTACACTAGAAAAGTTGAGTAGCAACAATAGAAATTATATGGTCCAAAAAAGCCTAAAACATTTAGGAACTGGCCCTTTATAGGAAAAGTATGCAGAGCCCTGCTCTATATGAGTATGATATAGTTTTCCATAAACCTAGGTGTTTTCACATTTCCCAAAGATTTGTAGTTTTCCCTATACTAAATACTTGATTTTCCTGCAAATATTAATAATTAAATTTTCTTGTTGTTTTTGGTCAATGTATAGAAATGTACCAGATTTTCAGATATTAATCTATTTATCTTGATAAACTCTTATTTCTAAAAACTTGAAAATTTTTGATATACACAACCACATTACCTGCAATAATGACAACTTTATTTTCTTTTTTCCAATCTTTCTGCTTCTTTTTTTCTTTAACTATAGGCACTGATTACTCCTAACTCAATGCTGAACAGAAGAGTGTGAAATATCTGTCTCACTGTAAAAGCAATAATTTCAATGTTTGTCTCTTTACAATTGTAGTTGCTTTAGGTTACTGTTAATCATTTATAATTTAAAGCTTTTCTAACTTACTAGAAGTTTTAAATACCAGTGTTGACTTTTATCAATGTACTCTTGCATCCATTGAATTGATCAAATTGTTTTTATCCTTTTTTATTTTTTAGTAATTTAAAACTTTTAATTAGTATATGCTTGTAGCACACAATGATTAGATTCATCATGGTAAATTGATACAAGTACATAAACACATCTCAATTCTCTTTTACTTCCTCTTCTTGTCTCTCTCCCTTCTCTCAGTCTCTTGGTCGCCCTTCCATTTTCAAAAGATCTAGTTCCTGGTTTCTTATTATCTATCTTTCATTTTGCTCTTTAAATGATTTATCCTTTGGGTTTCTCATGTAAGACGAACCAAGGGACATTTAAGCTTGTGAGTCTGATTTACTTCACTTTATGACTTTAAGGTACATCTGTTTGTCTTTTAAACTGATTGGTTATATTAGATTTTTCTAATAAAAAAGAATTATTCCACAACTCAACATGATCACAATGTAGTTTTTAAAAATATGCTACTGGGTTCTATTTACGAATATTTTAGTCAGGTTTTTTTTATATTCATAAACAAAACTACCTTGTGATTTTCCTTTCTTATAACATCACTGCTCTTTTAAAATCAGAAATGTTGGCCACATAGAATGAATATGTTGTGTTCTTTTTTGAATGTATGAAAGAGATAATCTGTGCTTTGAAAGTTTGGTGAAATTTCTTTATAGAACATAAAGACATTAGGTGTTTTGTGATATATTTTGAGTCACTCATGCTATTTCTTGAAGAGTTAGTCATTTCAACTTTCCCTCACTTCTTTTATCAGCTCCTACATTTCATATTTTCCCAGGTATTTGTCCAAATTGTGTGCATATATTTATGATGATATTCAATTATCTTTTAAATCTCAAATTTATCTGTAATTTTGTGACTACTTTATCTTCTTTCCATTTTTTTTTTTAGACAGGGTCTTCCTATGTAGTCTAGGGTGGCCTCAAATGCATGATCCCCCTGCTTCAGTTTCCTGAGTGCTACAGGAATTACAGGCATCTATCACTACCTTGGCTTTCTTCATTATCTACTTTTTATTGCTACAGTTTTTTTTTTTTCAAAGAGCTTTTTCTTTACTGAACTTCTCTCTACACAATGGAGATTAACAATCAAAGAGAAAGATAAACTGCAATAAGAAGCAATTTTCAGATGAATGTTAGCATCATGATATTAAGAGAAAAAGTCCCACGTTTTTTAAGCTACTGATACCTAAGGACGTACAATTTCATATTATGACAAACTAGAAACAAACAAGCAACACAAACCCTAAAGATACCAAGTTCTGTTTATATACATAGTTGTAAAACTCTAATTCAACTTTAAAATCTCTGACCCATACGAATGAAAAGATTATAATGTTTTCCTGGATTGATCAAAGTCAATCTGTGACTCATTTAAGTTATAGCTGATGCTGAATTGAAAGATCAGGAGGATAAAAAGATGGTTATGAACCCTGAGTTTACAAACATGTGAGGAAGTTACTTCAGTTCTGTACTCAGTTTTGTTTTGTAAAGTGATAGCTTGCAGTGGGTGCCATCCTTCTGGGAGCTCTTCACTGTTGGGTCTTCAACTGGACCTCTGCTAATGCAGCATGCAGAGCCTGGGGTGGGGGTGGGGTCTCTACTCCCTAGGGATGAAGTTCACTACCCACGCTCAACCAGTTTATATGCTTCCTCCGGGACCTCTCCTGTCCTCCCCAGGAAGAGATTTGTCTTGTGGACCCAGTACGGCTGAGTCATCTCCTTTATCAAAATTGTGTTTGATTATCCTGCATTCACTGTTTTGTTAAACATAGGTTACAATTCAACTCCAAGCTGGGCAAACATTTTCATTAAGTGTCCTTTCTAGGAAGGGGCATAGGATAGAGATTGATTTTGCCTATCGGTTTGATTCTTGAAATTCATTAAATTTCTGAATTCTAACCACCATAAGTAGCAATATTCAGTTAAACAACTTAAACTTTCCCATTAGTACCACAATTACAAGAGTAAAAGGACCTGAAGAGAAAAGTTTACATTATGGACAATATTTTTCTATTAGTTCAAGGAAGTGTTCACTGTATTTCAGCTTCCTACTCAAAGGAATTGAAAGAAAATATCATTTTGGCATTTGTAATATTTTAGTAATATGAACATTATTTATAATATGGATGTGAATATACATTTCAACACCAAAATACAAAGTCTAAACTTCAGAGAATAAATCAGTTCCATATTCATGCAGATTCTTGAAACTGTTAGTGATATGTAAGGTGGTAGAATGAAATAGTCCCTTTAAAATATTCTATTTTTTAATCAATGACTTTTATCTTATTTTGCATAGATACTTGTATAGTGAAAGGCAGAAGGGAAGGCCAGTATGTAAATTGTAATCTTTCTTGGAGGTAGGAAAGAAAGTGAAATTTAGGAACATTAAAATTAGCACTGTATTTACAATTAATGTGGTTAATGAATTTTAAAAGGAGCTATTAATAGAAAATTCAAACAAACATACCACTTATCCAGACAGAAATAATGCTAAGGAGAAATGGCTATGACTTTTTTTCTCTCTGTCACACTCCCTATCAGGAAGTCAGTGGTCACCAATGCTGTAGGGTGTGTGTGTGTGTGTGTGTGTGTGTGTGTGTGTGTGTGTGTGTGTGTGTGTGTGTGTAGAAATGGTGGCGGGTGGGGGGCTCTCATTTATATTATGGTGGGTGGAAGAATTAGTATTTAAGTAATACTCAGGATTTAAAAACACCAGATTGAGCACTGTGTAAAAGGCATGTACCAAGGCCTAGAAAAAGCAAATGCTTTTGAGCCAGTTGGAGGTGTGAGCTGGGAACCTCCTGTCTTTAGACTTTAACAAGGATGAGCCACACTGTGGTCTGTACCTGCTTCTCCGCTTGTTTCAGAAGCTTCTGGAATCTCTCATCTTCTAGCACACCAGGGGGAAGGTCAGTCTCTCCCTGAGCTTTCAGCTCCTCCAGCTTTTGCCGCAAGCCCCTCAGGGCCTGCAGCTCATCATTGAGGCGGCTCTGGTGGGTTAAAGAGGCCTGAAGGTCCAGTTCTAAGTCTAGAGATGTGCGCACTGGGCATTCTTGGGCTGTCCTTCTGAGGACTGGCTGGCACACCGTCTGGAGAGTTAGAAAACACGACAAATCATCTCTGTTATATGGATAGTCATTGACTCTGCCTGTTTCCCCTGTGGTGCGATAGGACTGCTTTTCACTACTCCCTGGTCTGTTGAGTACCTAACCTACCAAGTGACTTGGTTAGGCCAACCAAAGGTAGGTGGAAGGTGCATGCCTTACTTCCAAGAGGAAGCTGGCCAATGTCAGAATGAGATCTACAGTTTTGTCTCCTGCTAGACAGAAAGCAGTAGCCAGAGAAGGAGGTTCCATCACAGCCTGGGCTCTAATGAGAACAACAGGACCAGGGCATCAGCTGAACTGCAGTGACAAGTAACTCAGCAAGAAATATATTTTACCGTTTTTGACCAGAGATTTTATAAACTTACTACCTTCCCTACAGTAGCCTAGCTTAACTTGCTTTGGGTGAAAAATAAACATGTCACCAGAAACTTACACGTCCTCTGTTTCAGGACATAGGACCACCCCCACAGATCATCCCTGTGCTAGTACTTCCAACAGTGCTGGCCACACTACAGCTGGTTGATGGGGTTAAGAAGCTGCCTCCCTCCTCCAGCTAGTATGTTCACATTCCAACTCTTCCTTGATTTCCCCTGAAGCATTATGTACTTTTGCTATTAAATTATGTCTGTTGTTCTGTTCTTTCCTTGGGGCCAATGTTATCCTCTTGTCAAGAAGTAATTATTGAATATGTACGAATAAAGGTCTGCTGTAAGTTTTGTAGGCAGGACACCAGGAAGACTGGTACAACTCCCATCCCCCACTGGGGACCAAATCCAGGTCCTTGTGCATGTTTGTGAGGGCAGAGGCAGAACAGAAGTGCTAAGAACAAAAGTGCTACAGAAGTTTAGCACCTAAATGTTTAGTGAACATGCACACAAAGATCTCTGATCTTATATCATTGTCCACCAGACAGTAAGGAACAGTAAAATGTGAATTTGTATCTTAAATGCTATAGGAAGTCAGGGAAGGAATAGATCGATTAGAACTGGATCAGACTCATTTGAGAAAGACTACTTTAACATAATCTGGGTAAGACAGCATATGTAGACAGTACAAGACAGTATCTTCTGCCTAGGTTGTCAGCTCTGGAAATGGAAAATAAGAGGTTCCTAGTAAGAACTGGTGCTGTGTGATATAAGAAAAGAGAGCCTCACACTTGACATGCGCTCCAGTATGAAGATTTAGAACAGTGGTGCTCATGAAAGATGGAGGGAGAGGGCCTGTCTCAGCCTCCTTTAGGTATTTTAGGGTCTAAATCCAAATTGTAATACCTTTGACTGTTTCGTCCCAGACCCTCCCCTTTTATCCAACATATCTGTCCTGTGTGTTTACTTAAAACTCTAGATGCTCGGTTTCTATAACCTTTTTATTCTTAAGTTTCCTCTTCTCAACCTTTCCACACTTTAACAAATACATGACATAGCAAGAATCATCTAGACTCACGTTTACTTTGACTGCATTACTGGTTTTCCAGAATCAAAAATCTTTCCTAGGTGTTATACGTAAGGAGCCCTTCTAAGGACTCCACTGTGTACTGAAGTGCTGGTAAATGTTCAACAAAAGACTCTGGGGTGGGGATTAATGATCTGCAGGTTTTGCAGATTTTTATGGTACCAACTGCTTCCACTGTAAGGCATCCATGTGATATCATTGAATAGGGAAGAGCCAGAATGAAGAGGTTTAACCTATCACTGCCAAAGTGACGCGACCTTATTCACTCTCCTGGCACTTGGCCATCCCAACTAGGTATTGCTTTGTTTTCTTAGACCTCTATGCCATTTTCATGCTGTAACTTCTGAATGAGACTTTCATTCTCATTTTTGTGTAACCATATGTACTTCCTTAAAAGCCATTTAAAAATAATCTTTATACAATGTTTTAGGATAAACTTCTGTATGGTTCAAGTAGTACTAAAACTAAATTTACAAATAATCTGTTTTCAGGTCCACTCAACTTATAAAGTTCTGGTTAAAATTTCTCTAAAGTGTGCTGCCTTCCTTGAAAAGCATGTGCTGCTTCAGGAAACAGGTGACTGAGAAAGAAAGTGAGAAGAATTTTCACTCAAGATGATGAAAATTTAGGTGCTTTCAAAGTATAAAGTTTGATTATCTGAAAGATCTATGTCTCAGAATTTCCTACAAATTTCCATATGTTACAGCATAAGATACATTAGCCTTTACACAAGAGAAATAGTTGTTATTATTTTCCAGTAGCTAGGAAGCCCAAGAAGACAGCTATGTTTGTCCTCTGCACATGGTGGCATGAAACCAGAGCAACACTGGGGAAGAGCCTACTTCTGACTTCTCCTTCCAGCTCCCAGCCCTGCCTTCCAATCCACAGTGCCACGGCTCTGCTACAAAGTGAGCACTTCTCACTCACGCATACCTTCCTACTCATGGCATTCCATCCCACCTTTCAACAGCTCCTAGTACCCACCACTTCTCCCAGACCACACACTCCTTCCTACCCCAAAGCTATCATTTTCTTTGAATTTCTTCCCAGGTCTCAAGGCAATAGGATCCCCCACCCCACCCCATGGAGTATGTGTTAGATTCTGCTGCAGAGAAGCTCCCTTCTTGTCTTCCCCAGCACTCTGGGTACACCTGAGTCTTTCCTTTACTGTAGACTCCTGAGGTGGGAGTCTATGGTACCCGTGATGAGAGTCCAACAGGTACAGAGCTCCATGCTTATCAAACTCACATTTTAAACCAAAATGAAAGTAGTAAACAAACAGCTTTTTAAAAAAATTTCAGCCATTAGAAAGCAAACAGGAATTTCTGAACTACTTGAAGAATTTGGCCTTTTAATTTATTTAAATATTATCTCAGACTTATCCTTAACACTTTCCTAGACTGACGTATACAGGAAAACTTGACCGGGGCTGCCCCATCATTTGAACTTATTAGAGATAACTATTTAGTCAAGTTGTAAAATTATGTGCCTAAAATATTAAACAAAAATAAAGATATGTAAAGACCTGCGTGCCACTCCTTTGCAGAGTGTCTGCCCCCTCTGAGAAGGTACCCAGTACTATACTCCTCCCACAAAGGCTCTGGAGCCAGAGATGGTGTGGAGCTGTGTCTGCATTGTTAGAAATGATGCTCTTCGGGCTTGGCATGCCCTTTTCCCACAGATACTGATAATCAATTTCCAGTCTAAATTTTCACAGGTTTCAAATCAGTGATGAATGAATGCTCTTAAGCACATCCACCCTGGTTCATCTGCATCTCAGTGTGATCACTGTTACATAAGTTAACAGCCCTAGAGAAAGGACACTGACACCCAGAAGTTCTGCAATTTTTATCTTTGCAATTCCTGAATGTGGACTGGTCCAGGGCAGTGGGATGTGGCTGAGGGAATACATACCCTTTTGACCCGCAAACTGCGCCGTTCAGTGGAGTTTCTCACAAACAGTGATTTTTTAGCCAAAGTTGAACTGTCACTGTCACTCCGATTTAACTAGTGACAAAAGATTTAAAAAGTTACCATATAACAGAGTGCTTGTAGAAACTGGAATAGAGAAGCTTATCCACTCCAAAAAAGATCTTCCTTGTTCTACAGTCTTGCTCTTCTTAAATAATTTAAATGACTGTTTTTCAGTAGCAGTTATCAAAGTCACAAGTTAAAACAACTATACATTTTAAAAAATAAAACGGCCCTTTGTATATTGAGTAACAGTCAGTACAACTTTCCTTAAAGTTTTACAGACAGTATGGAGCTCAAAGTCTGAGTTAAGACACATAGAATGCTCTTGGCTCAGGCTGCACCTGCTTCAGGTCTCTGGTGAGTGTCACCTTTGCAGTAAAACCTACTTAGGGCCCTATGGACCATTCTTAGCCCCATAATGTGTGGATCCCCACCCAAGACACTTCGCTGATTATTCATCATAGTTATTGTTTATGTCCTGACTCATTCACAAGAAAGCTCTGCAAGAGAAGGACTCTGGATCTCTTTTGTTTCCAAGTTCCTAGCAATATGCTTAATAAAAGTCTTTTTGACTTGAATGAATAAATTAGTTATTTAAAATATTTCTAATCTATTTTATATTGTACTATTAAATTTATTATAGACCATAAATACTTCTAGAAGTATAATTTGGTAAACTAAAGCATATTCCACAATCTTCTTCACAGAACCATGAGCCTGATTCAGGGTCCAAAGGCATTGTTAAAGAGATGATTATTGTTCTAAAATCCAAGTCATAATTTTCAGTTCATTAAGATTAACATATATGCTTGAAGCAGATATGATATGTAGCAGATATAAAATGGTATCTTAAAAACCACTTTATCTTTCTAAACAAAGACAGAGGTTCAAAATTTCTTAGCATCCAGTCCTTGAATGTCACTTACTTGCCAAAGAAATTACACTAGAACTGGTGAGACACTGAATTTTGGGGAAAATAACTAACCAAAAAGAACCTTAGGCGTGTGACATCTTTCATATATCTTGTGGCACTTCTAGCCATTAGTATTTATAGTCAGCTTCTGCAGCCCCCAGTGCACATGTCTTGTCATTAATGAGCTACTGACTGGCAGGAAAAGAAGAAGCTGCAATCTAGGGCTTCATTAGGAGCGCCGTCACCTCACCCTGCAGATGTACTGGCTCCGCTCTCCTGGAGAAAACGTTTGGGAGCGCACTATCACGCTGCTCCTCACGAATGGATGCTGTCGAGAGCTCAGACTGCTGCGATCTTTTGGGCGAACTGTCACACTGTCACTAACTGCTTCATCAGTATTTGTCTCTTTGTCAACCTACGAGAGAAATTGGCAATTTGTTAGGAGCTGGTAGATGTGTGACCATTTATGCTTTCTTCTTCTAGGTAAGAGGGAAATATTTAATGGAAAACAGAGAGTCACCAGGCACCAGGGACGCCTGCAGTTCAGAGAATGGTACTTGAGTAGGGAAGTGGGGAGAATGGTTTTCTATTGAGTTCTTAGGAAGCTACTCACAGAAAATAAGAGATAGCTGTCCAAAGTTAACCATAGAGGAGGTTACCTTTAATAGGTTGGTTTTAAAAATGAAGGTTTAGATTTAGAGACATTGTATAAAGAATATATTGAAAATATATCATCCTTAAACACTACATTTTCTGACTAGTTTTCTCCAGAATAACTATACCTATTTTCTTCCAGAATAATGATAAAAATAACTAAATATAAGAGAATAAAAATATACCACAAAGTTATAGATTTAAATGAAATATATAATTATACATATAAGAATATAATAACTTGTGAAGTTGAGTTTGAATTCTTTCTGAATCATTGGAAGTGCAACAAAAATTAAACAAGTAAAAATGGAAAGGTGTCAAAACACCAACTGTAGACAAGGCAGGCATCTATATTTTATCTTACAAGTGTAACTTGATTCCACGCCTGCCTTTTGATGAAAGTTTGCTTCTTTGTAAAAGGAAGTTTTCAGTCAGGAAAGCTACATTATTTTGTTAGGAATAATGAGCTGGAATTTTCTGAACTCCATGACAGACATCCCAAGTGCGCCAGCATTTGCAAAGCTGGAAAAGCACTTTCCCCATCTGGGGATGGTAGTCTCAACACGTCTCTCACTTTGCTAGCAAAGCTGCCTCTGCTTTATCACATGGTTGGCATCTGTGCCTATCCCACGTCATTTGCCATCTGTCAGAGAAGACTTCAAGCAGAAAAACACCACCTAACCAAAAGTAACTTCTAATGTTTACTTTCATGTTTGAAATTGAAGTATTTTTGAAACTTAATACAGTTAAGTAGTCATACTGCTGTTATCTAATCAAGAAAATACTTTTAATAAACATTCACAGAACACTGAAAGTGGTCTAATTTAGTCCTCTACTTGTTTTCTTGGTTTCTTTCTTTCTTTACTTATTTTTTTCCTGGTGCTAGGGATTGAATCCAGGGCTTTGCTCACACTAAACAAGTACTCTATCACAGAGCTATATTCCAAATCCATTATTTCTCTTTTAATAACAATTAAGCGAAGAATTAGTAATTTGGGCCCATTTAAAATTTTTAATGCATTTACAATGCTTCTTAGTGACCATTCTCAAAAATGCCTTTCATAATCAGTTTGTGGACCAAAATCCTAATATGAAATTACTGGTGCCTGCGAGGCCTTGGTTTCACGGAGGCATAGTTGGATATTCACCAGGGCAGTTTTTCCAGAAGGCAGCTCTCTTGTATGGTTTCTGGCACACTCCTTGTCTTTCCTACACCTGTCTTCGTGCATCTCGGGCAAGCTGGCGCATGAATTTAAGTCCTCTGTACAGCTACCGTCTTCTGCCAACTTAACTTCGGCCCCTTTTTCAGCCACAATTTCATCAGAGGTCTCTCCCAGCAGTGTTAGCCTATTGTGAAATAAAACAAAGCATACATTCAGCTAAGCAGGCCTACTTCCTAAAGAGTGCAACCTGGGCATGTTAGCCTGTCACCTGGGAAATAAACAATGAACTTACACATATTCAACGCATTCTTTGACTGGAATTTTTAACTAGCACATAAAAAGTAAAACTCTCACTTTATTTTCTAGCAATCTAGCAGCAAAATCACCATAATTTGGTACTAAAATTTTAAATTTATGAAATTTACCTAACTTTCAGACAGTAAAATAAAAATATTCTGAATGTCATATAAATTTTAATCTTGTCATTTAAAAATATGGAAACATCATAAAATGACTTGGTACTAGTTATTTATTATAGAATTAATTATATAACAGGAGGTTACTCTCAGCTAAGAGTGAATAAAGACATAATAATTAAAAATACTCATTCCTAAAAAAAAAATATACTCATTTCTGGCTGTGCTCATAATCTAACAGAGAGAACCTATGTAAAAGGAGACTCTTGTTGCCACAGGAGCTCATCTTTCACAAAAGCACTGGGTAGCATTAAAGAATTAAAAGACAGTTGATACAAAATAGATAAAGCAAGAGTTTTAGGATGGTTTAGAACATCTCTTGCTTTGCTGAGTCTCACATTCTTAGAATGGAAACATTGTTTCCACTGACATCTAAATGTCCAGCTTTGAATGAAAACATTTTTCCCATTCATATCTAAAACTTCAGCTTTAATTGCAACTGGTGATATACTGGTACTGACAAATTAGTACAGACTAGTTATTCAATACCTAACCATGAGATAAAATGGGGAATCAGTATTAACTACTATAACTTACAAGATCCTATTTTTATAAACCAAGTATTGTTTTTGAAATATGTGTACACTGTACTTTACAAACATGAGAAAAGCTTTATATTTAAAGATGCTGGGATAAATTTTATAATCACTCTCATATTTGTTCTCTACTGCTCTGATTTTTATTCATTACAACTGACTTTTTATAAGCAGTGTCTTTGTTCTTCCTTCCAAATGTCCATGACTGTTTTATTTATGACATATCTTGTCACCAAGTTTCTTAAAAGTTTAACATATACACATGTGCATAGAAATGCATACGTATGTATGCAGATGCATACATATACCACCAATGTATATGTACACACTATAAACAGTAGACCAATCAAACATTAACAGTACAAATAACTCGTATGTAAAAGTTAATCTAAATGAGTTTACACTGTATATATACTTAAAACTTCAGCATTCACTAAAATTTGTTTTTAGAGAAAACAGTGCAAACTAAGAAATATAGTTCTTTAGATAGGCATATGAGTGAACATCACATTCTTTTTCATTTTTATCGGTACCGGGGATTGAACTCAGGACCGCCTGCCTGCAAGGCAGGTGCTTATGCCACTTAGCTAAATTCCCAGCCACATCACATCTTTTTTTCTTCTTCTTTTTTTTCTTTTTGTATTTATTGAGACCAGGTCTCACTATACAATTCAGGCAGGCCTTGAGCTCACTCTGTAGCTCAGGCTGGTTTTTAACTTGCAACATGCCTCCTGCCTCAGCCTCCCAAGTGCTGATAGGTTTGCGCCACAATGCCCAGCTTGTGCTCTTTTTTAAAGAGAGTATAAATACAGAGTAGGAAGCAGAAAAATCAAGAAGGTAAAAGTAGTAATAGAGAATTGGCCATTGAGAAAATATCTCCCTAATATTTGCTTTGCCTTACCAGAGTCTAAATGGCATTCTTGGTATTTCAAAGTTAAAAAAAGAAAAGAAAAGAAAACAAAAATAAAAAATAGTTTTTAATTGATCTGACTCTATAATAAGCCACCATTGTCTTTCAAAACTGATAGTTTACACTTAGAAAAAGTTTAGAAAATAGTGCTGAAGTTTTACTTTAGCAAGCCAAGCCTGGTGACATAGGCCTATATGTCACCTGGCAGGCTGAAGCAGTTCATTTTCAAGTTTGAGTCCTACCCAGGCAATTTAGTTACTTAGTGAGACACTGCCTCAAAATTTAAAAAAAAAAAAAAAAAAAAAAAAAAAAAAATCAGCTGGGGATGTAGCATAGTGCAAAGGCTCTACGTTTAATCTCAGTACAGGAAAAAACAAAAAATCAAATCCCTGAAGCAAGAATAAAAATCTGGCTAGCATGTTCACTTTACCCACCGGCTTCCCACTACCTCCTTTAACCAAGGAGAGATTCTCTAGCCTTAGCTGTCTAAAGCCACAATGTTTCCCATAATTCCAGAACAAGACATGAACTTATAAAGGTTTCCTTGGAAGAGTCTTAAAGAAACCAAAACACCCTCACAGAGTTGCCACTAGTGAAAGGAAAGTGACTATTCTACCAGTCTCCTTCTGCACCATGATGCTCCACTATAGGCCCCGGTTCCTCCTCTTCTTGTGCTAATTCTTGTTCCACAGCTAACAGCTCAGCTGACGTTCTTGCAAGCAAGGCTGACACTGCATCCTGGGAATGTAAAACATAAGGCAATTAACATCATATACTCTAAGAAATGATTTAAAAACTCATCAGATGCAGACTTATACTTCCAGCTGTAAAGTAGCTTGTGCCAGACTCAACTCTCCTGCTGAGCACAAATATGAAAACTGAATAAAAAGAAACAAAAAAATCTTCTAGGTATTTTAAAACAATGAAGAGTAAGTAACAAAGGCTATCAGGACTAGAGGGTCAAAAATCCAGAGAAGAGACATACAAAAAGGTTAAATAACCTTAATTGGGTTACAGACCTGTCCCACAAGGCTTGGTTTGCTTTAAAAAGTAATTTTTAAACACAATTTTCTAAATTTTTTTTAAAAGTGTAAACAATTTGTGAAAGCTAATGGTAGCATATTATAGAGTCATTGCCAGTCTTTCCCCTTGGGGACATGTGTCTGGTCTAGGTGTGGAACGTGCAGGCCAAACAGACTGGCAGCCTGGGACTGCAAGTGCAGGATCAGGACAGAAGACGACCAGCACAGCCATGATCACAGAAAATGAACTCAGGGCAAGCTTAACAGTATCCCTTACGTTACTGCCAAGGCGTTTTTCATTCCTAAGCTATATATCTGCAGAGTAAGAAGCCGAAAAACAAAAGCAAAAACCAATTGCTAAAATAATAAGCAGATATTTCAGAAGTCTTAAAGGGACCCAAGGAGAGAAAAATTAGAATTCAGGTGCCCTGAATGATTTGGGTAATCTTCCCATATTCTAATTTGCCTTCTAGAAGAGTATTAAATCCTCTCTGGAAGATGTATCAGTGAGAGCCTCCACAATCCCTCAAACACAATAGCCAGCATTCCATCAAGATGTAATAACTGAAAGCCAAAAGAAACAACAGGCAGACCCATACGTGATTTACACACTGCAGGTATTTAAATAAAAATTTAAATATTTACAATTCATGAAATGGTAGATCAACCATAAGCCTAAAGAAAAAACATAGCATATCAGAATAAATTTGATGAAAATAAAAGAGATAAAATCTTATATTCAGTGAAAGAAAAAATAATATATTCCTTTGTAAAAATCAAAAGTCAGCTTGTTCTCCAACAGCTTGACAATGGAAATCAAATGACAAAATATGTTATCTGTAACATGTTCAAAGAAAAACTTCCTATCCAGAATTCTGAGGGTGGCAAAAACTGTCCTTCACAAATTAGGCTGAAATAGACAACAACAGACCTGTATAAAGAGAAATATTAAAGAAAAACTTGCAGGTAGAAGGAAAATGACACACATGAAAATATAAAAATGCGAAAGGTAATAAAATACGCCACCAGACTGGAATAAAAACAGATCTGAAGGTCAATGGAATAGATTAGAGGATACAACCACAACTACAAACACACTCAACCACCTTATCTTTGAGAAAGGGGCCAAATATGTTCACTAGAAGAACGACAGTCTCTTTAATAAATGGTGCTGGAAAAACTGACTCTTTGTATGCCAAAAACTAAAACTAGATCTATGCCTATCACCATGTACTAAACTAAAATCTAAATGGATCAAATATCTGCATATTAAAACAGAAATACTAAATCTGTTGGAAGACAAACTAGGGAGAAATCTTGAAGACATACAGGTGGGTAGAGAATTCACGAACAGGAATCAAACCACACAGGAAATACTTCCCAGACTCAGTTTTGGGATCACGTTTTGTTAAAAAATTTCTGCATGTCAAAAGAAATCTCCAGCATAGTGAACAGAAAACTCACAAACTGGGAAAAAAATCTTAGTGAACTGTCCCTCAGACACAGGACTTTTGTCTAAAACATATAAAGAATTAAAAAAAAAATCAGACCCCCAAAATTCAAAGATCCAATCCAAAATTGGGCATCTGAAATGAATACATACTTCTCAGATGAAGAAATACAAATGGCAAAGAAATACATGAAAAAATGTTCATCATCATTAGTCATTAGAGAATTACAAATTAAAAGAAAACTGAGATTCCATCTCACTCCTGAAAGAATGGCTAGGATCAAGAAAACTACCAACAACAAAGGAACTCTTCTGCACTGTTGGTGGGAATGTAGACTGGTGCAACCACTGTGGAGGTCAATCTGGAGGTTCCTCAAAAAGCTGGGATTGGAAGTCCCATTTGACCCAGCTATTCCACTTCTAGGCATATTCCCAGAAGAACTGAAAACATCATACCACAGTGATATATGTGCACCTATGTTTATTACAGCACAATTTGTAATAGCCAGATCTTGGAAACAACCTAAGTGTTCATCAACTGAGGAATGGATATAAAAGTTGTGGTACTTTTATACAATGGAGTACTACTCAGCTATAAATAATGATCACACTGAGATATTTATAAATAAATGGACACAACTTGAGACCGTACTCATAAGCAAAATAAATCAAACTCACATGTATAAATACCATATAGTCTCCCTAGTGTAAGAAATGGTAAGCGTACATAAGATTTTATGGTAATCATGATTCCCCATTACATTGCTTTGAAGTGTTATAATGTTCTGGTTCATTAGTTGGAATGGTTTTATTCTGTTTTGTTTGATTTTATTATGTGTAATGGTATGAACAGCTACGTTGAAGAAAATAAGACATTATGACAGCCATTGCTGATTTAATATCATTTTGCTTTGAAGTCCTACCATACTTTTGTTCTTCTGTTTCCATTGGTTATATCATGTTGTATCTTACTGGATTTTAATATGTGATAGTATAAACAACTTTTTTATGGAAAATGAGATAATATAGTAGCCATTGTTTGTTTTCTGTTATTTGGTTCTGAATGTCCTGTAATACTTTCATTCTCTGGAGTACTATTGTACATGAAGGTATGCTCAACTATTTCAAAGAAAGAGACATTATGGTAGCTACTATTATATCGGGTTGTCCTGTGGTGAAGTACTGTGTTGCTTACATTGTTCTGTTCTTATCTGCTTTGTTCTGTCCTCTTTTGTCTTAATCTCTTTAAAATAAAAAAAAAATGCACCACCACTTGCAAAAAGCTGGAGAAGTGTAACTGAATATTGATTATAATAAAGTAATAAGAATGTTTTATGGGACTCATACTATTTGTGACTAAAATATATAATAATAATAATAATGCAGAAGGAAGAAAGACAGTAAGCGGAGTTAAAATCTTTTAAAATCCATAAACTCTCAGAGAAAAAAGTAAAGATATTAACTGAAGGTAGCTCCTAATCAGATAAAGATTTATGCTCAGAAAAAAGAAGTGATAGGCTGTATAGTTGCTTCCTCTTATCTAAGGTTTGCTTTCCATGCTTTCAGGTACTCATGGTGAACCACAGTCCCAAACTTTTAAATAGAATAGTCCAGAATTAAACAACTGGTAAGTTTTAAATTGTACAGCATTCCAGTAATATTATTAAACCTTCAACTGTCCCACTTGGTACCGCCTGGGAAATGAGTCATCTGCTGTTCAGTGTATACACACTGTATATACTACCTACTCACCAGTCATGTAATAGCTATCACAGTTATCAAAGTGACAGCTGTATCATTGTACTGGGTTCAAGAATCCTTAATTTAGTTAATGAAGGGCCTAAAGTACATCGGTAGTGATGCTTGCAATATGCACATGCTGAAGGAAGCTATAAAGCACTTTAAGGGAAAAGGTGAAAGTTCTTAATAAAGAAAGACAAAGAATCATACACAGAGGTTTTTCTTTTTGTTTGTTTGTTTTTTTGTCTTTTTCTTTTTTATCAGTACCAGGGATCGAACTCATGACCACACACTTGCAAGGCAGGTGCTTATGCTGCTGAGCTAAATCCCCAGCCCCTAATACGCAGAGTTGTAAACATCTATTGTAAAAATGATTATGTCAAACCTGTGAAATAGTGAAGCAGACATTCATGCTAGTTTTGTTGCTACACTGTAAACTGCAAAAATTATAGCCACAATGTGATAAATACTTAGTTAAGATAGAAAAAGCACTGAATTTGTGTGTATGCATAGGAAAAACATAGTATATATATATATATATATATATATATATATATATATATATATATATGCTTCAGTATCAGTTTTAGGCATTCACTGAGGATGTTCAAATAGTGGGTCCTATTGTATGATTTAATAGAAAAGAAAAACTTTTGAAGGAAGCAATCCAGAAGACAGAGAAAAATAACAAAGATAGAACTAAAAGAAAATAAGCAGCAAAATGACAGGTTCAAATTCAAATGTATCAATAATAACACTAAATGCAAATGAGCTAAGTATTTCAATTAAATGATGGAAATTTTAAGACTGGATAATCAACCAATACTAACTATATATTGCTTACAAAAGGAATGTTTTCCTTTTTTTTTTTTTTTTTTTTTTTGTCTTTTTCCTTTTTATCGGTACCGGGGATTGAACCCACGACTGCCTGCTTGCAAGGCAGGCACTTATGCCACTGAGCTAAATTCTCAGCCCCAAGAGGAATGCTTTCAACACAAGAACTCAGAAAGGTTGAAAGTAAAAGAATGGAAAAACATAAGCTATGCAGAAACTGATTTTAAAAAAACATGCTTATATAGCTTACTAAACAAAGTAGACTTTTAAACTAGAGTTGTTATTAGAGATAGAGGCATATCATAATAATAAAAGGTTCAGGTGAACAGAGAGAACACAACGCTAAATTTATATTTATATAATAACAGACTCAAAAAGCGAAAGATATCAAAACTACAAGGAGAAATACACTTATGTGCCATTATAAGCGAGATTTAAACATACTGAGCAATAACTAATAAAACAAGCATACTGAAAAACTAGACGTAGAAAATTTGAAAAACATTAAGAAACTTGACATAAAGAATATACATTCTTTTCAAGAATAATGGAATGTTCACCAAAAACATATCTCATGCTAAGCTATAAAGCAAGTCCCAATATTCTATACAATTAAATAGTATGTACTCTGTTCTCTGAAAACCATGAACTAAAACTGGAAATCAGTGCTAAAAGAGAAGCAGAATGAATAA